AAGCAGTGGTTCTCAACCTTCTGGCCCTTTAAATACAGTTCCTCATGTTGTGACCCAACCATAAAATTATTTTCGTTGCTACTTCATCACTGTCATGTTGCTACTGTTATGAATCGTCATGTAAATATCTGATATGCAGGATGGTCTTAGGCCACCCTTGTGGAAGGGTCGTTCAACCACCAAAGGGGTCGCGACCTATAGGTTGGAGAACCGCTGCTATAAAGCGTCTGTACCATTCTCCATTTTCAAGTCGACCTTTATGAGGAGGTCAGTTTGTCACAAAGGGCATTCTGTTTGAAAGGCTTCTTTGTTGCCTTTTGGACTCTCTCCACTGCCAATTCCCTAGTTAAGGAAGCATAAGAAGTGAAAAAAATATATATATCACTTTGGAATCAGACCTAAGTTTGAATCCAAGGTTTGCTATTTTTTAACCATGTGATGTTAGTCTCACTCCTCTCATCTGAAAGTTTGGGGTACTACTATTTATGCAATGGGGTAAAATAGGAAGTATTTATGTCTGGTAATAACTTAAGGCTTCAAACCTTGGATCTAGTTTTTTAATTCCTCGAACAACCCATTTTTATTAAGAGCCAAAGGATTGCCATTGTCCTGGGAACTTATTTCTGGATCTAACAGAATATCTTCATGCGTTACTTTTTATGTTCAAACAAACAATCAAACAAACAAAAACACACACCAAAGCCACCAGCTTGGAAGCTAGATATTTCTCTCTCTTTTTAAAAAAAATATATTTTTATTGATTTCAGTGAGGAAGGGAGAGGGAGAGTGAGAGATAGAAACATCAATGATGAGAGAGAGAATCATTAATTGGCTGCCTCCTGCACTCCCCCCGTCCCCTTATAGGGACCAAGCCTGCAACCCGGGCATGTGCCCCAACCGGGAATCCAACCGTAACCTCTTGGTTCATAGGTCGATGCTCAACCACCGAGCCATGCTGGTTGGGCTAAGTAGCTCTTTACAAGGTTTGCAAAGCATTCTAACAGTCTGTGAAGAGGCAGGTTTAGCACGAAGCTCTTGGAGATTAGTCTTCCAGAAGCCCCTTCCATGGGAGCTGTGAGCATTTGTAGTCACAAGTTCTTATGGAAAGTGAGGTTGGAGGGCCTGCTGGCATCTTGCATTTGTGTTATATTTCTTAAAAGAGGACCTTCCTAATGGGTTCGCCTGTAGAGAGAGTCCCTGGGAGAACGGTTTGCGACGTGTTTGTGAACTATATTCTCTCTTCTACACTCTTGGGTCCCCTGATGTGTTGCCTCCTTCCCAACCGAAGGCAAGGCCTGGCACCCCTCAGACGTGGCTCACCTGCACTGGTTGCCGCTGGGCTGCCTGCAGGCTGTTCCCCAGAAGCCTGTTCCCCCGAAGGCTGTTCCCCCGAAGGTTGGTCCTTGGCGACCAGTTCAGTCACGGCTTGTTCAGCGGCAGCGTGTTCAGCCGAAGCCTGTTCAGCCGGAGCCTGTTCAGCCGGAGCGTGTTCAGCCGGAGCCGGTTCAGCCGGAGCCTGTTCACCTGGAGGTGGTTCCGCCGCAGCCTGCACACCTGGAGGTGGTTCACCGGGAGCGTGTTCACCCGCAGCGCGCTCACCTGCAGCGTGCTCCCCCACACCGGGCTCACCTGAAGGGCGCTTACCTGAACTGTGCTCACCGGAAGCGCGTCCAACTAAAGCGTGCTCGAATGCAGCCTGCTTGCTGAAAGCGTCCCGGCCTGAAGAAGCGTCAGAGAAAGCCTCGCGGTCTGAAGGGGTTGCAAGTGAAAAGGGCTCACCTGGAAATTGCTGGACGGGAGCCTGATGGATCAAAGAGCCAGGAGGCTCATCCAGCTGACTTGGTGCTCCTGGGATGGAGAAGGAACAGAAACAGAAGATGAGGAGGAGAGAGTGCGTGTCCGGGGTAAAGACTACTTCCCTGTGGAGGAAAGGGTCCTAGGCTTCCTGTGGGCCTGTATCAGGCAACAGAAGGTATTACAGATGCTGGAGGAAGCCAGCTAATTATACACAATGGAATGCTACTCAGCCATAAGAAAAGACGGAAGACTGCCATTTGAGGCAGCATGGATGGATGGACCTTGAGAATATTACGCTAAGTGAAATAAGTCAGTCAGAATAAAAGTGAAGAACCATCTGATTTCACTCATCTGTGAGATATAAAACTGAAACTTGTCAAACAATAGTGTGGTGCTGCCAGAGGGAAGGGGGTGGAGGGATGAAGGGGGCCTAATATATGGTGATGGAAAATGATTTGACTTTGGTGGGCACACAGTGCAATATACAGATCTCGGTATCATAGAAATACACACTTGAAACCTATATGATCCTATTAATCAATGTCACCCTGATAAATTTAATTAAAAAATAAATGTCTACTGAACAAAAACATTACCAGATGGAATTAAGACACCTTTATTTGGCAATTTCAACTTCTTTCCTGCACTCAATCCCCTATCTATGTGGGTTGGAGACAAAGCAAAGTTGTCATTAATCTTAAGATAAAAACATCCTTTGCTTATATATCTGAACTGAGATTCCTTGTGACATAACATTTACACCCACTTCATGGAGTTGTCATGAGTAGTCAATAAGATAAATGGTGAAGTGCCTAGTCCATTGCTAAAGTGCTC